CCTCCATTATGAAAAATAATTGATTAAAACAGATTATCGCGATTTAGGGAAGTGATCGTCGTTTATTCTGAGAACTACGTGAAACACATAGAGATCGTATGAAGCCTAATAGAAGGCAACCCCCTGAACTTCCAACAAGAAACCCACTTATTTTTTTTCAGCATTGGATATGCCGCTTAGTTCCCAGACTTTTGGGCAAAGTAAGTGAAAATTATGTCATTAGAATTCAGATTTTACTTACTTAATACGTTCCTCTTATACCTTACGGTGTCGAGGTTTGCTTTTTAATTTGATCATTTCACAGGTGGTATGACTCCATGGACGAGCGATCAGGTCGTCGCGAGGCCTCTACCTAAACACAGGACAGCACAAACACAGAATAAATAAATACACATACTAAACGTCCATGCCTTGTGTGGGATTAGAACTAACTATCCCAGCGTCCGAGCGAGCGAATGATTGGATTTATTGACACCTTATTCACACAACACGGAACTACAGGCAATATAGCGCTATCGCTGATCTACACACGTTACAGTACACACGCACTAGGGATCTCAATCTTCACTTGTCGTATCCTGGCAACGGATTTATAACAATCTCTCTGTCACTTTAAATCACACATGAAGTCTTATATGCACCCCCCAATTCCGTTCATGCCATTTCTTTTCATTCAACATCGACTGCCAGCAACTCATTGCTCTCTTTGAACTTCTCGTTATAATTACCTCCGGGCGGACCCCACTTAAAACACCGTCTTCTGTTGTTCCGTATTGTTTTGGGCGTATTTACTGATCATTGCCCAGCAATAGACGTCCTATTGTTACGCGCGTTGGCTCCCGCGAGAATATGTTTACCGAGTCGTTGCCTAGAAGTGGGTCTAGAGATCACAGTATTTTTAAGGACCCAAAAATAAGGTGAACCCTCTTTTCTAAGAAGCAGTATTTGAAATTAAAATATGTCGCCTTACGTTCGGACCAGTGTCACTCTGCGGACAAAATGCAAAACAGGGTTTGAAGCTCAGTGGTTGCTGTATGTACCACCTGCTTTTGCTGTAGAAGAAACTGCGTTCTTCCTGTAGGGTGCGTTCTTGTGTTCTTATGATTCTCACAGTAACTTCGATTCATTCAGTGAATGGCGTTAAGAGACTGAAGTTTGTAACGGTAAACTTTCTTATTCTAAACCCAAGTTGCAGGGTAAAGGTAAAGCCCTAATTGGGAACCGATACTTGGATGTATAGCACTCTTCAAGAGCAATGATACATTGGTATGGGGCATGCCGAAACGATGATAATCAGGGAGAAACAAATGATGAAGAAATCCTACCCCACCTTGTTGAGTCCAAATCCTAAATGGATTACCCTGAGCTTGAGTATTGAGGTATTGCCGAAATGCAATGAAAGTTCTCACGGCGGTCACTGGTGTTTGGCATCGTATAGTCTGGTATAACTTTACTGGCATCTCGGAATAACGTGCTGCTCCCATATTCAGCGTACAGGATTTAAGTTTGAGGCAACGCGTTCCTCTGAAACGTCGTTAAACTCTTACTTGACGACACAGCGTCACTGCTCAGAACATAGTAGTATTACTAATGAAACTTGTAATTTCCGAATGAGGTCCCTAATAACCCACCAATTGTTCGAGATGGTAATTTTTCAATTACAAATAAGATAAGTACAACGGTACTGTTTTTCCTATTAAGCAGATTGGTTAAGTACCGGCCCAGCTATAAGGAGTCGTTTAAATATTTATTATTATATGCCGGAAACGCTTGGAGTAAATCAGTCAACCGTTAAGAGATGCAATGAATTCCTTGGTGCCGGGTTGTGACGTGAGTGCAGCCTCTGTAGCCTACCGTCACAGCCCGGCAGTAAGTCGCTGCATTCCAAATCACATTTAAGAATTTGTCACGTGTCCGAGGTTTCGTGACCAATAATAACGGGTTCTAGATTAGATGATTGAATTTATTAACACCTTTTACAATATCTCTTAATTACAATCAATCATCGCGCTACCACTCGTCTACCCACTTCACAAATCACTAGGACACGTTAAATCTTCTCAGTCTTCACTAATCATATCCTAGCAACGGATTTGTAACAGTATCACTGTAACTACATCACACATAAAGTCTTCTTTTCGCAGGCTAACTCCGTTCTACTGTACTCATTTATACTCCTCTTTACTTCTACAGCTCTCATTCTCTCGGACTCACTGCTCTGAGTCTTGAGTCTGAGTCTCATTTTGCGACCGACGGTCAGTCGGCCAGTCTGTCTTGGCATAAAGCTCCCATCTGGGGCTTGCGACCAGATCTTTATTACTGCTTGACAGTTACGGTCTTGTTTTTTGTGGGCGCCCTCTCTGACGAGAGGACGAGTCTGTCTTTTGTATATGCTGCTGGTCCTTGCCAGCGCAGTCTTTCTCGGGTCCGAGGCCCTTGGTACTCGAGACCATATAATACTCTCTCAGATTTGAGACTTCCCTTTTCGTCGCCTCCTACGACTCGCAGGGTCACGGTGGAGGTATTCGAATCCGCCTCCGCACAGGCTTGACTCACTGCTCACTTGGAATTCCGCCTTATATAGACTCGGGGAGGACCCCATGGAAAACACTTTCTTAAGAATACGTGCTTATAGGCCCGTTACCCAGCAATGGGTGTCCTTTATTGTCTCGTATTTTTGTACGCATTACCCAGCAACGGCCTGTTTACCAAGAATCTGTCTCCGCGGGAACGCGTTTATCGAGCCGTTGCCTAGCAGTGGATCGATAAGTCACAGTATTCTCAACCTTGCGATCTACTCTTATGCGACGTGTGCAAAAATTAAGGGGTTTCGATTTTTATGGGGTAGAACACCGTGTAGTCTTGTACGTGATTACTGATTAGTGCCGTTTGGCAGGTATCTGCAGTCTTAATCTGCTTCGAAGATGGAGACAGCAGTTTCCATCCGAAACGTCGTGATCATCGGAGACAGCAGTTTCCATCCGAAACGTCGTGATCATCTAACAGACTGCATGGCATCGTAGTTAGTTAGTTAGTTAGAGAGGGTGGGTTTCCCCATACACCGCGACCAGTTTGATCTATTGTGCTTCCCTCTATGATATTCTACCAGTCTCTTTACCCTACCGATAAATAGTACGTACCATCAGTCCTGCCGAGCAAGCGAGTTCGGCCACTTGCTTAGCGGTGTCTGTAATGCTTCCCCCATCTATCAGAGGCCTTAGAGACTATTGTTGGGCGGGAAACGTCCTGGAATTTGGCTCAGTGATCCCCTTTGGGGATATGAGGTTCTTTTACGTGCCGTAAAGTTACGACACGGGACACGCAGCTTAAAGTCCCTCCCGGAGGACTTGTTCCCTGAATTTTTCCGCCCTTAAAAATTCGACGACCTCCGCCGGGTATTTGAACCCGCGTACCGCGAGTCATGAGGTGGGAACGTTACCTCTAGACTACGGAGGCCGCTTGCATGGCATCGTAACTCGAAGACTTCAATTCTAAAACTTCACCTCCTTTAAGTGGAGAAATATAGGCTATGTGTTGTAACATTTGAGTTTCTTTCACGAAGAATAATGTCATCTGTGATGGTACACCCTATAGTTTGATATATGTTCACCGACGTTTCGAGGGGACGTAGGAATAAGCAAAGCTAGCAACAAGTAATCGAAAGAGAGAAACTTTTCATTCCTGAAGAAGGAAGTCCTATGTTCTTCCGAATTACACGGCCGCACATTCCAGAAGATAGTTCCCTTGAGGTATACTCCTGTTTCCTCTAATGTATTTTTTTTTTAAGAATTTACGTGTATATCCAATTGCTCTCTGTGTTCATATATTGTAGGTAGGTCTAAAGGCAGAGAGAACTACAGGCATGAGGTAGCATAGTTGGTTGAGGCACTGTGCTACAAGCCGGAAGGTCGCGGGCTCACTTCCTGATGAGGCCTTTTGATTTTTAAATTAACCTAATCCTTCCAGCCGCCCTATGACCCTGGGGTCGACTCAGCCTTTAATAGAAATGAGTACCAGGAATATTCTTGGGGATAAAGGGCTGCTGGCGTGTAGGGCTGACAACCTTACCACCTTCTGTTAGCCGATTGTATAGAGAAAATGTGGGAGCCTCGACGTCTCACAAGCCTATGGGCCTGCACGGCCTGTTACAGGGATAGCTCTTCGGCGCTCTCAGCATCGAGACTGTTTAACGATGATGATAGCATGATTACTACATTTAGAGCAGTTGGTGGAATTGCCATTAGAGAAAGAGAATTTCCAAGGGAAACGGAAGTACTCGAAGAAAACCCGCCCCGGAGTCACTTAGTCCGCAATTTGTCCCGTGTGACGCTTTTACTTGTGCTTGTAAATCTTCGTCCTCACTACTTCAGTTGCTCGCCAGGCTTCGGCGCGTGAGGGTCCGTATATTTACTCGTAGTGTGTATAGGCTGTAGTCGTATTTTAATTTATTGGCTATAGTTTTTAAATTATAAAATTTAAAATTTGCTTGTCTCGTGACTTGTCATATCGTCCACATTACTCGCGAGCATAGCGAGTCACACGAGCACGAGTAATGTGGACGCGCCTTTAGGAATGAGTGTGGCGACTAACCGCCTGAACTTTGGCACGGCCTGCGTATGTTCGTGCCTCGCCACTAGAACGCAGAGCTAGTTCATTTGTGATGCAAGGGCAAGTTCCTTGATAACGTTGGTAGCTGCCCACGTCATAACCGATATGACCATAATCCCATTCTTCGCCGTCTAGAAAATCATCTTATATCATTACAAATAGGTTTTGAAGATGCGGATTCAGTTTATTCTGTTTAGGGGCTGTTTTGAACACTGTAATGAACGTTCGGGATTCGTTAAAGGCGGGAATTTGTTGAGCTGCTGAGGAACTGTTAGCTTCTCATGACTCTGCTGCATGGAGATTATTAGTTTAGAGAGATGGCAGCCATGTTTAGGTGTGCGACGAATCTCCAAGTTGTGTGGGCTGCCTAATCTTTGCGCTCCGTGTTGCAGTACTGACGGGGTCAGGCGATGGCTACATCCAGCAGCACCGGGGGTGGCCAGCACCACGCCTCCCTCAATCTGATGGCTTGTGTGAGAGAGTCGTCACCCCAGCAGGAGGATCTTGTGTCTGATGCCATAGACGCTGACCTCGCAAGACATGGTGAGTACAGACGTGAGGGCAACGTGACGACAAGTGGAGAACCAGTATCCAGTGGATGTCTAGAGCACCCTGGTTTTGGGGGCCCTCACGACTCGAGCATCACTACGATGCGCTTAAAATTTCCCAACGTATTTTAGAATATAGATAGTATATCACTATGAGCACAACACTGTTTCCATCATTTTTTTTTCTAGGCAGACATGTTTCGGTACGTGTGTGCCATCTTCAGTTCCTGGTCTTAAATAAAGTTCTATCTATCTATCTATCTATCTATCTATCTATCTATCTATCTATCTGTCTATCTATCTATCTATCTATCTATCTAACTATGGCTCTACAGCCCTTTGTTGGACCTTGACCGCTTTTTCAGTTTATTGATCTTTTACACAATCGGTAGGACTCCTTGGACGGGGATCAGCCGTCGCAAGGCCGCTACCTACACACAAGACAACACCAACACAGAATTAAAGCAGACAGACTTCAATGCCTCGAGTTGGATTCGAACCCATGACTCCAGCGTTCGAGCGGGCGAAGACAGATCGCGCGGCCACTGTCATCGGCTAATTGTGTTACATTTCCACTGAAATAGAATGCATGTTGGCCTGTCTCGTTCGTGATATGCTGTCAGAATATTAATTTGGTCACTTATGTGTTATGCATATTGATTTAGAGGAACTCTGAGTCTGGTATGGAGTGAAGAGGACAGGTGAGGTCGATATCCTCTCCTGCGGAAGTGTTTGGGAGCCGTATTCTCAGACCCACGTTCCTTCTCCATTGTTAAGTCCAGAAAAGAAGATCAAGTGACAGACATTCAACATGTTGCTAAGGATGGATCTGACAGGGATGAAGGAAAGGGGAAAAGTTTGTCATTATGCAGGGTTAACCGAGAAGGGTGAATGCTTCGGGGGGACTATTGTTGTAGCATCCGTCACGAAATTACATGCATCAAGGCCACTGAACGAGTCCTCATCCCCCCCCCCCCCCACAATGTATCGAAGTTCACAGTGTTGCATTGGTGTCTTTGCTCTGCAAAGAAACGACTAGCTTCTTGCAACTGAAGACGAGCTCCTTGTTGCTCCGCAAAATTGCCACAAGTACGCAGCATAAAACTGAATTTTCTCGCAATCTAAAAAGACTAGTTACGATTGTGATGTTTAAAACAAGGAAGTGGAACCTTGACCTATTCTTATTACCTGTAGAGTAGGTGATACAGTGGATTAGCCATATGTATTGTCACGTGTATGGGTGCTGCGTGACTTATAAGACGGGTTCTGGATTGGATGATTGGATTTGTTGCACCTTATTCACGCACAACTCACACTTACAAGCAATACAGCGCTATCGCTGATCTACACACTTTACAGTTCACCGTTACACACGCAGTAGGGTTCTCAGTCTACACTAGTCGTATCCTGGTAACGGATTTATAACAATCTCACTGTCACTTCAAATCATACATGAAGTCTTCTTATCACAGTCTGATTTCTTTCTTGACGTTTCTTCTCAATTACCTTAGACTGCCATCTCCACAATTGGACCCAATTCTTGAGAAAAACTGACTCAAATGAACTCTCCTAACTTCTGGAAACTAAGTGTCCCCTTTCAACTTCCCGTTATATAGCCCCAGAGCAAATTCCTCGGAAAACATATTCTTTTATTGTCCCATATTGTTTTATGCCTGTTTACTGCTCCGTTGCCTAGCAATAGATGTCCTGTTGTTGCGCGTGTTGACTCCCACGGAAATATGTTCAGCAAATCGTTGTCTAACAATGGTGTATAGGTCACAATATTTTGACCTACGCAGTGAACAATAATTCGAAACAGAGAAACATATTTAATTTATTAAGTCCTAAAATGTCACAGCAAAAGTAGTGTGAGGGCAAGGTTATATTAACAGATAAGCGACGAATGCAACAGTCGAAACATGTATTTGATTTTGTTACAGAAGTGACTGTAGGAGCCGGGATAGCTCAGTCGGTATCACGACTGGCTGCGGACTGGACGACCGAGAGGTCGGAGTTCGAGTCCCGGTAAGGGCAAGACTTTTTTCACTTCTCCATGTCGTCCAGACCGGCTCAGGGGTCCACCCAACCTCCTCTACAATGAGTACCGGGGGCTTTTTCCCGGGGTAAAGATGCCGGGGCATGAAACTGACCAGTAGTGCCGAGGTCAAGAAAATATGGATCTATACATCCATTCCCCCATACGCCTTCATGGTGTAGGGCTTAATTAGTTAAGCACAGGGACAACTTTACGTTCTATAGAAGTGAATGTTGAAGTGACATTCAGAAAAACGTTCTGTGCTCTGCTGTTGGTACAACAACACTGTAGGATTCTGCCGTACTCTCGAAGCATGCTATTTCGTGACGTGAACTGTTAGCCGCCTCCAATGAATATGTAACATCATATTTTGAATACAGTTCAACGGTATCTGTTCATTCCTAGAATAAATATTTGTTTACTAAGTGGTGACGGGTCCGGTCACGGTAGCCGAGCGGTCTAAGGAATGTACTGTCTTCTCTAGCCCGGAAGCCGGATCGTGGGTTCTAATCCCGCTCAGGGCATAGCTGTTTAGTCTTTGTGTGTGCGTATCTAGTAAGTAAAAAAAAAGTAAAGCTATCCCTGTAACAGGCCGTGAAAGCCCATAGGGTTGTGAGACGTTGAGGGTCCCACATTACCTTGACAATCGGCTCAAAGATGGCGGTAAGGTTGTCAGCCGCGCTTTACTCCCCAGGAAAATTATTACATTAATTCTTGGTAGTCATTTCTGTTAGAGGCTGAGTCGACCCCGGGGCCATAATGCGGCCGGAAGGATTAGGTCAATTGAAACAAATCAAATGACCTCATCGGGACTTGAACCCGCGACCTTCCGGCTTGTAGCATAGTGCCTCAACCAACTACGCTACCGCGTGCTCCGTATGTATCTAGTAAACCGAAGTGAAACGGAGAGTTTCATGGAGGTAGGCTAAGGCCCAAATTAGGGCTGTAGCGCCAAAGGAAAAAAGAAATGGTAACGCTTTGTTACATTCACGATGTGTATGTAGTGGATATGAGTTCGGACAAGGTATCAAGTGCGGCAGATGTAAAGTGTGGTTCACAATGAGCCGACGGTTATAAAAATTTGCAAAATGATGGATTCCACCTGCCAGGTTAGACCACCGTTCATTGTAGTGGCAGTAAAGTACTTACACTGTATTACTCTCCTCGTAGTTTTCCAAGGAACACGAACGTTGCGTAAACACGTTTAGAGGTATTTCCCTAGGAGGCCAATATTTGCATTTACGTTCGCTCAGTAACCGTGGTGAAGAAAGTGTATAGGATGAAGTGTTCCTTGTGCATGGAAACCACGATAATAAGGCTTATATAGTGAGCTGAGGTGAAATTGCACATGTCCTAGACCTCTGAAATAGATGGAGATAACAGCTTCTCACTCTTCCCGTTTTATCCCCAAGGGAGAGGCTCCCAGTACCCATAGGATAAAAGCTGACCATTCACTCCCTTATCGTCAGAACTCCTGACAAGTACAGCCTCACTCGTATGCAGGCAAGCTGCTTTCCCCACATTCATCATATTCCTCTACTGGATAAACTCTTAATAATATTTTTTTTTCATAGTCTTCTGACTTCTTACATTATCAGTATGATTAGTTTGTTAATGCGGAAGATTTGTATTAATTTGTTTTAGCGTGAAATCATGAGCATTGTGCTGATCAACTCAGCACGCCACCCCTCACGTAGACTTCACAACGCTTTATGGTTGAACTGCATATAGTAACATTAATTTAGGCCGCGCCATAGCCCAAGCGGTTAGTCGCTGGCTTTCCACCGCAGCGGCACGGGTTCGATCCCTGGTCTAGTCAAGTGGGATTTGTGGTGCACAAAGTGGCGCGGGGGCAGGTTTTCTCCGAGTACTTCGGTTTCCCCTGCCAATCTTCATTCCAGCAATTGCCTCACAATCACCCACACCTATTATCTAGGACTGGTACAATAGGCCAGAAGTGGCTGCAGTACAAGGGACTTAGTCCCACCCCACTAGCAGTAAAGAAAACACTAATTTATGGTGTATTTTATGTAGCGAAGAAGATATACACATTAAAGGGCCATAAAGTCATGTGCAACCACGTAACAACCTTGAGACTGTTTCTATGTTGTGTCACAAGCATATATCCCTGAGAATAAAGTTGGTAAAGCTAGAGTTGTTTCTGTGCTTAATTAGTTAAGCGCCACGCCATGAAGACGTATGGGGGAGTGGAGGTATAGCTCACCATTCTTCACCTCGGCACTAGGCGATGTGGCCAGCTTCAAGTCCCCGGATGCTTTACCCCCACGGAAAGAGCCCTCGGTACCCATTGCATAGGAGGCTGGGTGGGCCCCAGTGCCAGTCTGGACGTTGTGGAGAAGAGGAAATCGAACCCGGGCCGTCTAGACCATGATGACGTAGATGGGACAGTAATATTAAACTGAAGCTACTCTATGTTGCTACTTATGTTGCAGTTGACAGTACGAGCGCTATGAATTACAGCGGTACACAACTCAACCTGAAAATAAAAATATCCCTTTGAAATTCACTGGATTAGGGAGGGTTTCAGGTAGGAGCTTGGGTAATTACCCTCGGCGAGCACAGCCAGCGGCAGGGGCTGGTCACGTGGTCGTCACAGGGGAACTCCCCGCGCCTCATAATTCCTGCACAGACGTCTCTGGCGATTACAGATGAGGGGGGAGGCTTAGAACTGCATATCATATGACCTTGACCCCATGAGAATTCAGTGCACTTTCTCATATCAATCTGCCCAGGGCCGTGCCTTATCTCATGCAATTATACGCTGGCGTTTCAGCGCAGAAGCCCGGCTTCTATCTTGGGTGACTTCGTGTGAGTTTTGTTAAGGGTTTCCCATGCTAATCATTATTACAGTATTGTTCCAAACTTTATTATCCCCAACCTCTGAGGTTTCGGAACCTTGGTCTTTAAGTTCGGGGCTTCATATCCAACCCACCACTTGG